AAGAAGCACTGAAGAAAATCATGGAGAGCCAGCAGGAGCTGTTAAACAGAAAAAGAGGAAAAGGTGATTTGTTGCATATTCATTTAATCTTTCCTGGAAGTTGTGCTTAAATTGTTGAAAAGGACTGCTCTCTTCAGAGAGGGGGTTCTGATCTAGCGAACCCATCTTTATGTGTTAGAAAGGAGTCACTGAAGGCTCCTTTCGTCTTCAGCGGCTCTGGAAAGGACCAGATTTAGATGCATACAGAACAAACCATGAAGCCCGCCCGCCCGCCCACGGTGGTGCTCTCCAAGGAAAGGAAGGAGGGCGCTGGAAGACCCAACTTTTATCGGGCTGAGGAAAACGTTTTGTCAATGCGATGAACTGAGCTCTGAGCCAAAGGCCTTGCTTTTGAGTAGCCTATGGCTTTGTGACATTGCATGAGGTAATCCTTGACCAGCAAGCCAATTTTTTTTATGCTATATCACGACATTAAAAAGCCTCTGGTGGGCTTTTGGTTTTAAATGCCTCTTCCCTTCAAAAATAGAGAAACATTTCAGATATAGCCTTTTGGTGATATCGTAACTTGGCCCTCAAGAGTATAATTTTTTTTCCCCCCTTAAAAATATCCTCTGGCCCAAAAAAATTGCCCATCTCTGTATTAAGAGAATTCAGAAAAGTGAGGGAATGCATGCCAGAGTAAGTTCGCATACTTAGAATCCTGGAACTGGTTCAGAATTGTATGGGAACTTCTTGATCTCTCTTTATAACCAAATGGGCAAACTAACCCAAACACTCTTTTAAGTAGATGCTAAAGTTGAATGATATCTACGCCTTGCTTTGAAGACAGAATTCCGTATTTTACCTTTTTGTATTTTCTCCAGGAAGGCTTCCCTGTTGTTCTTTCCTATCTTTTCTCAGTATGACTAAAAAAGTCCCTTTGTCCCTCTAGAATTTTTCTTTATCAAGCCTCTTTTTCTCAATAAACTATCCTAACGTCTTTTTAAGAATCATTTTCAGATCCTTCTTTTGTTTTTGGTGGTTTAAAAAAAAAGAGGCTATTGGATTTTTCTTCCTTTGTCTGTACTTCTCATACTACCAAGAAGAAATTCTGTTACGCAAATTTGGGAAGATCCAAACATAGCATTCAAAATCAGGGGATACAATGACATTAGTAGTACATTAATTCTTCCTGCCAGGGAGAATTCTGTAGAGTAGCTATTTGAAGGAATTAACGTCTGGCTGAAAACAGGACCTACGCTCACACCTTTCCAGGTTTCACAACCTTGAGTTGTAAAGATAATAAAGGTAGGATACAAACAAACCAATAAATCATCTCAGTTTTTTAACTAAAATGCTCCATTTATGTGACGTAGCCTATTCTTGGAAAATTTTTAAAACAACATTCTTTGTAAAGGACCACCAGCGAACAGCAAAATAAATAAATAAAATCATAGAAACAACTCTTATATTTCCAAAAAGCTTTTTCTTTAGGCTGAAGGTCATTAGTATCTTGCATTAATTAAATAGGAATTATCACCAAGAATACCACCAAGCTACTGGATACCGAGAACAAGCATTTGCATAAAATATCTGCTTCAGTTGAGTTTTTCCTTTTATTTATTTAAGATATGACATATCATACATGGACTAGCAATATAAATTAACATTTCAACTAGATTAGTAGACTCCAATAAAATATAAATGTCAAAAGATCTATGTTCAAATTTCAATGCCTGGATCATCTAACCATTGAAGCGCAGCATTGTTTATATTAAAACAATCAGATACTGGACGGGTGTATGTCCTCAGCTTACAGCCAGTCACGATGTGATCTATAATTTGATGTGGGACCCCTGAGTAACACTGAGGGGAGGATACTATGCCCTGCTTATATCTCACCCAGCAGGTGAGATGCGAATCTTACTGGATTATCCATTGCTGACAATGACCTTTTTGTGGGGTTATTTATACGTCTTCCTGTAACTGGGTGTTCAGTGACCCATTTGGCTTTCCATTGGGATTTTCCTTTGGTTCAACCCTCTGAGTGCAATAAAACTAATTTGCTACCCATGTAGCTAATAGTTGCTCCTGCCAATTTGAATTGGGATGTGGTGACTCTCCTTTGAGCTAGTCTGCCCTCCATTTATTGCTAAACCTTTTCTAATATACTTTTAAGGATGTGTATTAGGGCCAGAGAAGCTAACCTAAGAAAAAAGGCTTAGATAGCAAACTGGAGCTTTTCCTCTTATCTTTTCAGGATGTTACTAAATTGCTTTATAGTTGTTTCTAATTAAGGTCTTGCAAGATTTACTGTGTTCTCCATTATCAGTGCTCTTTCAGTCTTTTCATGGGACAAATTTTAGTGCTATGGAACTTCCAATTGGATTAAGACTTTTTTTTCCTGCCAATATAATATAGCATGAATGAAAGCTTCTGTGTAGGACATCCAATTCTTGGTAGTATCCTCATGCAGGAAAGAACTGTAGAATTTCTTTCACAAACTAGATTATTAGGACAACTAATTCACTTTTTTTTTTTAAAGAGCAGCCTAGCCCACACCCAATTCTTTGTGGTACTAGTGAGAAAAATGGATTTGTGGCTTGCCACTAATTCTGCACCAATCATTGGAAATTGATTGTTTCTTTACCAACAAAAGCTTTTTCATTACAGAGACACCCCTTTTGGGTTTGTGAGTCTGTTTGGATTTTTTTTCCCAAGTTCTACATTTTCATCTTTCAAGGTTCCTTCCATTTTGAGATACATTGTTGATCCAAGTATGTTCTTCAGTTGACCCAACTAAGATCTTGAAGCAATTGTTATTTACATCTAGGGCTTAGTTTTTTTCATACTAAAATGTGATCATAACCACTCCTCTCTTTGTGTTTTCTAGAAAAGTCTTTTGTTACCAGTCCATGATAGCAATCAAACACATTTGATTGAAATATAACTTCTGTTTTCACACATCACCCAGAAAGTGGGGTTTTCCTATAAAATCTCTTCTATAAATCTCAGAATTATTTAGTGCAGCGACTCCCAACCTTTTCTATACCCTGCACCCCTAGAATGCTTCTGATATATTCCCGCACCCCTTTACAAAAGTTTAAAATAACGACAACTAATTATGCATATACACTATAATTTTGAAAACCCAAGTTTTTACACCCCCTGGAATATTGTCTCACACCCCCAGGGGGTGCAATCACCCCCAGTTGGGAACCCCTAGTTTGGTGGTTTCAAGAAAAGGGAAAAACAAACCATGGCTATACACTCACATCAACATGTCCATTAAACTGCCATAGTCCTGCCTCCCGCCAGAACCATTTTGTTGGTAGAATGCCTTGTGTAGGTATACATTGGAGTAGACTTGATTCGTTCTAAAATTACTTCTTCATTGATAATCCCAGTATCTTGCTAATAGTGCCCTGCATTTCACCAGCTGGAGCAATTAGAATACACAAATCTTAGAGGAAAAATTCCGTTAACTCTAACCCATGCCAGATAGTGCATGCTTTTCATTGCCATAACATAGGAAAACATGTTTAATATCTTAATATAAATTTATTGCTGTCAGAGCAGCAGCTACCTCAGTAGTTAAATTAATAAATGAACTGGTTATAGAAAGAATCATATACACTAGGAGCTACAGTATACACTGGAGAAGAGCTTCCATGCATCTTGGATAATACACAAAAATGAACAAATGGGAGTCAACCTATTTGGATTATCTCCATATACCAAATCACCTAAATAAGCTGTAGTTCACAGAAAGCATCAGTGTTCCTTTATTATTCATGTATACTTGGAAAATAAATCACTAAATCCTTTTTACATGATGCACTGTGAGCACTTCCTTTTGATATAAGATAGACTAAGGGACTACTCTTTAAATTCAGTTATCATGGATACTGGCCACGTTGGCTGGGAATTATGGAAACAGTAGTTCTATCTATGGTCCAAATTGAGAAGGGCTATTTTATATGACTGCCTTCCCTCTTAATGTGAGGAATAAATTTCTAAAAGTGTGATGATCTTAATTTACATACCCTTTTTGCCAGGTCGCAAAGGCAAACCTAAAGGTGGCAAGGGAACACAAGACACACAAGACAAAAAAGTGAAATTCCAAGGCAAGAAAACAAAATTTGAAAGTGAAGATGAAGAGGAGGGTGAAGATGCAAATACCACAGGTGACTTATCTTTGTGGAGCAAGATACCAAAACGTTCATATGGTGTGCTGAAAAATTGCTATTAAGTTATTGTCAAAGCTTCTGTGTTAATCTTTGTTAGCCGTTTGGAACTCTGCTCCCCAAAACAGAATTGTGCAGGCTATTGGAAACGTGCCAGCTAAAAATGTTTGTAGTATTCAGACGATTACTTTAGGTCTGCCACATTCTCTTTGGAGACCATTCTGCATAAATGACGAATCAGAATGGAAACCTGAGTTTCACATCCATGGGTAGATTCACCATCCATTGGACATTGGAGTGTCTTTGTACCGTTTCCCCTAAAATAAGACCTAACTGGAAAATAAGCCCTATCGTGATTTTTCAGGATGCCCGTAATATAAGCCCTACCCCAAAAATAAGCCCCAGTTAAGATTGTAAGCCAGACAGACCCATTTTGTATCATATTTCCCCCAAAATAAGACCTAACCGGAAAATAAGCCCTAATGTGTCTTTTGGAGCAAAAATTAATATGACGCGGTCTTATTTTTGGGGAAATATGGTAATAGTTACATTCCTTACTGGTTTTCTCAAATTTGTTAATGTAACCAGTTTCGTAATCTGTTCTGAGAAAGAGACCAAATTAAATGAGACTATAGTGTCATTTAATATATAAATTAGCTTGATATTACTTGGCTTATTACTGTAGGTCTGATTGTGATTGTTGTAGCCCACCATGACTGAAATCTCAATTTTACAGGGTCAGCAAGTCCCAAGAAAAGACCACTTGAAGAAGATAAGCAAGAAGAGCCTGCTGCCAAACAGCTAAAAACAGAAAATGGTGCTGGAATTCAGTTGTAAAACTGCAAAAACCATTTAATGCCATTTTTATTATTTTAATACAGTTTTAAGTCATTCCTCCATCCATCTTTTTTTTTCCACAAGAGAATCTGATAAAATCTACTTTGATGTCTACCTGTAAGACAAAGAAGAAAATTACATTTTGAGATTCTTTCTTGGAATAGTGGCTGATTTAACATAGTTCTTTAAAAATATCTGATGAATGAGCCTATAATTAGGCTGAAAGAAAAGGCTGAAAAACTGAACTATATCCTAGTATCTGTTATGTACAAAACTTTTATTGAGTAGTGTATAACAAGTATCAGTATCTTGTGTATTAAAGGTTTGTGAATCTTTGTGTTCAGTTACAGATGTTATCAAATTGTATTGCTACCTTTAGTTTATTGGAAGGAAAAAAAATCTATAAATAAAATAAAGCAACTATGTAGACTTACCATGAGCACCTAACTCCAATTTTGTACTTGTCTTCAATGCTGCATTAGAACTTTCTCAAAATATAATATCTTTTCTTTGTATGGCAATGACAGAAAGTGTCTGCTCCAATGAACAGATGTTGCTTTAGGTTTTAGTGCAAAGGTGACTAAACGTAGCTTCTACAGAGGCTGCTTTTCATATAACAAAATCCAATATAGATTATATTATGTGATGAAGGAACAGGGGAATTGATCTAGTAAATAAATATACCCTGCCCATAACTTTTATTTCAGAGACTTAAAAAATAGTATTGTAATGTATTATGAACAAAAGTAGTCCATCAATTCTGATTCTGTACATGTGGAAAATCTCATTTAGTTTTGATTTCTAACATGCACTCCCTGCACTAGTAAATGTGCTAATTTGAGAGTTTATTATAATTGTGATCCAGCTTCTTAAATTTGTGGACTGGATTTGTCTTAACCAAATAGCTAGATCCATATTATTCCTGTTTATCTTCTTCTCCCCAACCGTTCTACTTGTGATAGACAAAAATCAAATTAAGACAGAACAGGTATAGAATTAGAAGGATATTTCTACAATAGAAGGGAGTCATCAGTCTGAAATTTATTTTGTTTTGCTTGTTTACTCTTTTTAGCTAAAGAGTTAATGGTGACTTGAGAATCCAGGTAGAATGGAACATGTGTGTGCTAAACAGAAAGGTTGCACAGCCCTTTCAATTTGAAGGCGAAATGAATTTGGAGTTTGTACAGATGCTCAGTTTATACTTGTATGCAGATGCTTAATATAGTTGTTGGCTTTCCTGTGATCACGTAGTTGCTTGGCACAAGATCCCAAGAATATGTGAGTTTGACTTAAGGAGTTTTAGACACATACAAAATGTGTGTTCCTTTTTACAGCTTTTTACTTTATGTACTAAAATCCTGCACAACCCCAAACACAGAATTTTACATTTTATTTATGTGAACTGGTTTGGTTCAGTCTAGTTTAAATCAGTGGTGCCATTCTCTTTCAAGGGTGAATGCCTATGCCCTATGCAAATAATACTGCATTCTAATAATTCTGCTACCCATATGGATTTTACCACAGGGAAATCTGCATGATTTTCGTAGTAGTTGTTATTACGCACCCCTGCTTTGTAGTCCTTTTACGATATTAGTATAGTAGGTTTTATCTTCTCTGATAAAACACCATGATAACTTCAATCTTTTCTGAGTAGGAATTCTCACTTGTAAGTCTTCCTTGTCTATCATACAACACATCAACCTGTCACTGAAAGATTAGGAGCCACATATTTGATTGCACCAGCAAGAGAGTGGTGAATTGGTGTATGTAATAAAATAGGTCCCATGTTGTTGATTAGGATAAGAGACTCCTATGGCTCTAGAAATTAAATAGTATCATATTTCTACTCCCTCTTATTTAGATCTTCAATTTTGTTTTCAATACCAGATTATATGTAGAGACCCAGCTCAAATGGAAACATTTTTGTCTACGATCATTTGCAAACAGCTCAGTTATTGAGCAACACATTAAATAGGTTTACTCTGAATTAAAAGCGGCCTAATACTTACCGATTTTTTCTTGTGGAATTTATATGATGCTGGTAGATCATATTTCAGTTCTAAAAGTGAATTAAAAAGAATTTAAGCTGTAATGGAAAATCATAAATATATTTGAGAAACGATATATATTAGCTGGAAACAGTTAATACACGTATGATCTGAATTAACTGATACTGGGTTACTGGACATGCTTATGATTACATAAAAGTATCTTGTGTCTGGTTGAGTAGCAACAGTTCATTAGAGATCAACTTCTATAATGCAAATACTGCTTATATTTTGAGCATATTTAATTAAGATACCATTATAAAATAATTTTCACAATAGTTTTGGATCTGTGTATTTTAAAAAGCACAAGGGAAACAACTGCTATGAACCAATAGTATAAAATGATTAAAAGTAAATAAACATATTTTGTCATGCTATTTAAGACAGCTTCTATAAAGGTATTTGGTACCCTATATAAAGATAGACTAATATTTGAATGGGAACTCTGTGTGCCTTTAAATTGAATTCAACAATAACAGCTTGTTCTTACCTGCTAAAACTTCCATCCCTATATTCCATTCATCTGCTTTTTTCTGAATATGCTGAGCATGAAAGGAATGCAAGATATTAGAGGTTCCCTTAATTTTGATAAATCTATATATATTACGTCTGATGACGATGATTTCCCTGAACACATTTTCACAAGGTTTTTCTGTTCTAAACACTGAAAACTATAAACTTCTAGATTTTGCACAAGCTGATTGGTATTATAAAAGTTTAATTCTAATATATCTGGAACATGGTGTTAATAAAATGTCTTAGGCTATTCCAGGATACCTGATTTCAGATCTTATGATTGTAAAATACCCAATATTTCTAATCTTACTGTTCCATACAAGAATGTGTATCAGCACAAACTTTAGACATACTTGTCGAGTTGATGTTTTATGCAAGGAATACACAGCTATTCTTGCCATTTGCACAGCTGTCTTGAGAAAAGCCATATCCATGCCTATAAAAATAAAAAGTGTTGAGTTTTAAACCTATTTTACTCAGTCACAATTATTGTCTCTCCTGCATTTCTAATATCTCAGCAGCCTTGAGCAATATCACCTACAGAAATAAAGTACGGTAGTCTTGGTGGTGTTAAGAAAAGCTTGATAATGGTTAGCACCGTATATTATCTAGCTTTGAGAATACATTTTTCTTTCACTACTAAGTGTCTAACTGATCTGAATACTACAGGTAGTCCTCGACTTACGATCACAACTGAGCCCAAAATTTATGTTGCTAAGCAAGACAGTGGTTAAGTGAGTTTTCCCCATTTTATGACCTTTCTTTCCACAGTTGTTAAGTGAAACACTGCTTAAATTAGTACATGGCTGTTAAGTGAATCTGGTTTCTCCACTGGTTTTGCTTGTCAGAAGGTTACAAAAGGTGATAACATGACCCCAAGACACTGCAACCATCATAGATATGAGTCAGTTGCCAAGTGTCAAAATTTTGATTGTGTGACCATGGGGATGTTGCAATGGTCGTAAATGGAAAACTGTCATAAGTCACTTTTTTCAGTGCTGTTGTAACTGAACAGTCACTAAATGAACTGTTGTAAGTCAAGGACTACCTGTGTTAAATATTCAGTGTTCCCCTATTCTCAACAGACAGCAAACTGAATTTTGTTTTTTAAACATTCCTAATTAGTATAATGTTTTAATGTTTAATCAGTTTAAACAATTCAATAATCTGTTTGTATTATGTAACCACCTTTGTTTAGATATTCAACTATTTCTTATATTGAATTAAAGTTCTAACATCAGAGTTTAAGGTTTGATTTCTGTCAGATATTTTTGATTATCTCACTAATAAATGTACTTATCAATAATAAACACATGATTGGTTAAATAATTATCTAGTATGTGCTAAACTATCAAAAAAGCTTTTGCCTTAAATATAGAATGGAACACACAGTCCACAGTATGCTAATGGTAGAAATACATTTATAAAATGAAAGCCATTTCTAGGTTATACTTGTTTTAAGACAGATAAAAGTAGGGATATGAAGGAATTGAATTTATGGACAATTGGTGGAATACAGGCTAACAAAAACTTCGGAGATAAGATATAAATTAACCTTGCTTACTACAAATCACAGAATGGAACAAATCCAGCACAAAGGTTTTAAGGTAGGGATGAAGAACTTTTAACTACAAAGGTAATATGGTACTGGAATACATGGCAGAGATACATGGTTACTTGGCAGGAATGGGCAAAACATCCTTTGCATGCAACAGCTAATTTCAAATTGTCCATGAATTTAAACACCTGAATTCTGGTCAGATAGTTTGCAAGGAGACCAGAAAAAGCCAAGAAAATTGGTGGCAACGATTAAGAGAAGGCAGGAAATAAAACGCTCTGGGGAGATTGGGTGAGGCTGACAGGGATTAGTTAGATATGTAAGGTTGAAGTCAAATAAATGATGCTGATGTCAAGAGCACCACACTAGGCCAGTCTGCCCATCTATCTTCCCTGACAAAAGTGCCTACCTTTCCCTTAGCTGGGAAAGATGGGGTGGGGGTGGGTCAGGGCAGTTTATATTATGTCTGAGGCGAGAGACATCATGGCAGCCAAGAGATGGTAAGAAAAGGAAGCATGGGTTCACTGGCATTATGGAAATGCTGTAAAATAAACAAAATTAGATAGTGGCTTCTTCAGGAAGTTCATTCCCATTCAAGGAAAAAAATGGCTAACCTTTATTGTGCTTAGTTCCAAAAGGAGGATTCATAATAACTGTATCAAATGTTTTGGACATTTTGTCAAGCAAAGAACATACGTTGCACTGAACCATGTCAACATTTGTGAGGTCAAATTCTTCAGTATTCCTGTTAAATACCTCCAGCGCATTGGCATCTATATCAAATCCTATACATAACCTGGGAAAAATAAAATTAAGAGAATTATAGTAGCACATACTACTTTTAAAACGTGTCAATTCCGACTGCTAATCTTTAAGATTAATTTTAATACTACTAGTAGATCTGTTGTGATTTTCATTTTTTTTTGTTAAAGGAAAAATGAACTGTTAGATTTCTAAATGACAGTTATATAAATTTTGAACGATTAAGTCAATGTGATTTCATCTTTAAATGGCTTTTCAAGTGATGCTATTTCAGTAGATGTTATTTATATAAAAGTTTGAAATATGGAGTATGTATTCTATAATGTAGTCTCTGATGCAGTTTATTCATATGTAAACTAAGTACTAATTTATCACTAGCCTAACAATGTGTTTTAGTTGCACATTTTGTTTAAAATAATGTGAGTACCTACACTACATTCTTAATTAGAAATGTGTCTAATAAATCTGTATTTACAATACAGGTAGTCCTTGACTTACATCCAGAATTACAGTCTTAATTTGTTGAACTCGTTAAATGTGGTGTCAGTGTGAAGTGTGAAATCAGACACAGGAACGTGCCTGTGCCTGAATTCACAGCCTAAGTTGTTAAGCAAATGCCGCAGCCATTAATTGGTTTCTTCAATGGGCATTTTTTGCCAAAACCCAGAAGTAAATATCAGAAAACAGCAAAATCCACCAAAAATTGCAGTTGTGAGACTGCGGCATGGTGCAAATGGCCATCAATGCAAATCCAGTAGTCAAAACACCCAAAATACAATAACTTGATGCAGATGTTTGTATATGGCCATTAGAACTCTGGAACTGGGTGGTAAGTAGCTCAGGGAGATCTGTCATAACTTTGAATGGTCACTAAGCAACCAGTTGTTAAGCAAGGACTACCTGTAGTTGGACTGAATGGCAAAGATCCAATTTGACTGCTTTAACCATGTAGCTTTTCTTGGTGGCAATATAGTAATGGCTTGTCATTACCTTTGTTTTATTTCAGGATGGTTGTTTTTTTTTTAACTTCGCAGTTTTAGTTTACAGCCCAGGGATTTCCTAGTAATCTGATTCTGATTAGCTTTAATCATGACTAATTAAAAACATGCAACAAGCACTTTCTAAAGCTACCAGGACCATTTAGATGGACTTATTTTGAGATAATATAGCTCCTTGTTTTGACATTCTTGTTCTGAAGTACCTCTGGTTTTCACCCTTCCTCATTTAGTTTAATATTAAAAGAGCAATAAGAAAATGAGATTCCTTACCCTGCTCCCAACATGGCACTTCCAATGCTCAGTATGCCACAACCACATCCAAGGTCTGCCACAATCTTGTTTTCAATATCATCAAATGTATTATGAATTGTATAAAGCATACATGCTGGAGAATAAAGACATATAGGCAACAGGTTCAGAGCAAATACAAACTATACTAAAACTGGGATGAATAAAGGTCATCTGATCTATTTCCTCATTCAAGCAACATTTTATTTTATTCATCCACAAATTAATATGTCAGCAAACTTTATAACAGTAATGTAGTATAACACCTACTAAGATGGCTACAATGTGTCTGTAAGGCAGATGAAAACTCACATAAGTGAAATACCAAAGCTTTCAAGGAAAGGCCCTCCTTAAATACAAACATCTAGATTGAAAACAAGCACTGATTTTTATAGGTAGAAAAAGTATAGGGGAGAATCTAATCAAGAAACAGGCATTAGTTACACAGGAGACTTTATCACTTAAACTTTAGCGAAATATTAACTTCCCAACTTCTAAGATTCTTGAAATTAAACAATCAGCATTATTATATTAGATAAGGAACATATAATTTAATGAAGATAATCTTTAGAATGAGCTGTTAGAATATGTACAATAGACCAACACTATACACACAACAAAGAGAAGAGTAAAATTTACCTGCAATATGTGGCTGTGTCGGATATTGTTCAAGCAGGAGTTTTGGATTCTCAAAGACATCAACTTGTTGCAAACAACTCTCAAGTTCTTTAAGTTTTAACTTTTTCATGCTTAGAATTTAAGATTTATGATCAGTTATATAAAGGGAATGAATGAATACATACAAATATTAATGCTTGTTTATACTGTCCTTTTTATAATCTCAATAAAATGTTTTTTAAAAAAATCTGAGGCATACAATTTAAAATACAAGAAAACTCAAAATTTATTGACATTTATTTATATTTCATAATTCTTAGACCCCCATCTCCCTTGAATGAAAAAATGTTATCCAACAAATGAACTGGTTCATATTCCAACAGACTAATCATCTGGATTTGCATTACATTAAGCCATAAATTATGCTTCACAAACCGTAATGGCTGCATTAATACAGCAAACTAAACCAAATTTATACTAACAGATAGTATTTTGAAATATGAAACCAGACTGGGGGAAAAAAATTCTGTTAATTTTTATGCTCAAAATTTAGTGTTGCTTAACTTTAAACATGGCAGAAAAACTGATTACAAATCCAAAATAAATACAAATGGAAGCACTATACAATAGAATATGTAGGGACATTTAAAATGTTCCAAAGTAACGACCTTACTTTTCTTCAGATGAACGTTAATGGAAAAAACTGGGGGAAGGAGGTAGATACTTCATACTTCTGAGCTTATGAACTGAAATTAATCATGAGATGCATCGTTGTATCCAAGTTTCTTTCCAGTCGAGCTAGACTCCAAGCGTTTTAATGGACAATTATTTTTCTTGCCTGTTTTTTTTTCCCGAGTTTCCGTTAATTCTGGGATAAATTTGCAGAATATCCTTATATAGGAGGAAAACTAAGTTAACTATTTTATCTGTTAATATAAGTATAGAAATTATTTATACAAATAATCGCAACATCTACTCTACCCTACACCTGCTAAAAACATAGAAAACGCTTTTACCTCTCTGCCCTTTCCTCAACGATCACGCATTTCCGCTTTGTGCAGCAACTTAAGCAACCCTCCAAACAAGGGAAGCAAAGTCCCGTGCCTTCAGTTCCTATCCAGAAAACAGAGCACAAGGAACCTTTCCCCCCCCATATCCATTATTCTGGAAATCCTAGTAGAAAAGAAGCGAAGCTGATGGGATCTCAATTTGGACACGTCTATCCGAGAGAAAATAGTTTTAAAGTAAAGAAGTCCGGTTTCTGTGGATTGTTATGTAATGCTGTTATCATCTATTTTCCCGGATTTTTAAAAAAAATAAATTCCGCAATGCCAAGCAGGAGGGTTTTACTTGCACATAAATGTAGAGTATACCATAAAGGTGTGGTGAATAGCTCACAGGTTTGATTCGATTCGGCTCAGTTCGATCCATCTCAATCCCTCGAAAATGTAAACGTGGTTCATTATGGCTCGAAAGTTATCTAAAAATACTAACAATACTTAACCTGCGGTAACTGCTGTTCCAGGGTTTAACGCCTTCTGTGCCATCAAGTCATTTTCGACTCCCAGCGATCACACAGATTGAACGTCTTAGCAACTGTTTATTTTTAATGGTTGCCGTTTCCACTTGCCCTAAAGATTATGCATTTTATTTCTGCTCACCTCATCAAGGCTTATGTTGCATTTCCACATTCTTTGGTTTCCCCCCCCCCGTGCATTTATGCACAGTATAAAGTAGAGCTTGTCTTGCTCTGTGGGTATGTTAACAGGCGGCTTTCTCCACCTTCGCTAGAGATTGATGACACTTGTTCCTTTGGCACGGAGAAAATTTAGGAGAACGTTTCAGATCAGAAAGATCTTATTCTGGGGTGCCTGCTATTAGACTATTTAGCAACAGCTTGCTATGTAAGAAGACCGGGTGAGCGCCCTGCTTCATCCCTGATAAGTTTCTGGTCCTACTTCCTTAAAAGTTTCATCCAGCCATAATCAACGCCTAACCGGATTACGTTCATTAAAGGAAGGCGGGCAAGAAGAACTTGGCACCACGAGAAAAGTGCCGCTCAAAGTCCTAAGCCAGGGGTAGTCAACCTTGGCTCTTTTATGACTCGTGGACTTCAACTCCCAGAATTCCTGAGCCAGCTAAGCTGGCTCAGGAATTCTGGGAATTGAAGTCCACGAGTCATAAAAGAGCCAAGGTTGACTACCCCTGTCCTAAGCGCATGGGGGGGGGGGCGACCTCAGCGACCCCTGCAACGCGGACTAAAGTCTCCCCGGGGGCAGATTCGCTCCCGAGCAAGCACGCGGGGATTGCAGCTCTTGGTTTTCCCCGAGGCCTTTCGCAGAAAGCGCCTTTTCAACCGGCTCTTCCACCTGACGAAGGTCCCGTCCCGAGCCTATGCGAGCAGCGTTTATCAGGGCGGGCACCACCAGCGAGTCTTTTCACGGAGCGGGGGTGGAGGCGGGGGGGGAGACGACGGGAGACTCTCGGAGAGGTCAAAGTAGTAAGGGCGGCCGGCAAGCAGACCGCCCAGCGCTGTGGCAGAAGGTGGAGGGGAGAGTGTACTGTAGGCGGCCGGGGTGCTGACTTTCCCGGCTATCGCGAGAGGCGCCGCTAGGAGGGAAGGGAGGGGAAAGGCGAGAGAGGGAGGCAGGTGAGGGAAGAAGCGCAGCTAGAGTCGGAGGGCTGCTGCGCCGCCCGTAGCGGCTGCCTTGGTGGAGGGACGTCCTCGGCCGCCCTCATGGCGGGCGCGGGGGCTGGAGGGGGCGCCCAGGAGAAGCGGGCTACGGCGGCGCGCCTGAAAGCGGCCCTCAGCGCCGCCGCCGCCGCCGCCGCCGAAGAGAGCGAGGCTGCCGGAGAACTCCAGGCGCTCCTGGAGCGGGTCTTGGGTCCCCTGGCGGGCAGCGACGACACCGAGGCGGTGTCCGAAGCGCTGGGGTGGTGCCGCTCTTTGCTGGCGGGCGGCGAGCCGTGGGACGGCTTCGTGCAGGCTGTCAGGGCCTATGACCCGGCCACGCTCTGCGGCCTGGTGTGGACGGCCAACTTCGTGGCCTACCGCTGTCGGACTTGCGGCATCTCGCCTTGCATGAGCCTCTGCGCCGAGTGCTTTCACCAGGGCGAGCACGCCGGACACGACTACAACATGTTCCGCAGCCAGGCAGGGGGGGCCTGCGACTGCGGCGACGGCAACGTAATGCGGGAAGCCGGGTGAGTGGAAACAAGCCCGCTGGCTAGCCAATGGGAGGGTCCCGGGGCCGCTCCAGCAAAATGGGGGGGGGGGGGTTCAGGAAAGCCACGAATGGCTCGCTCGCTCGCTCTGTTCCCTTTCTCTCCCAAGGGGTTTTGAAGGAAGCGCACGTGCCAAAATAAAAATAAAAATCGTGCATGACAGGGCTGTGATCCGGAAGGACAGGTGGATGGAAGCTCTGTAAAGAAGTTAGCCACCTCTTAGGCTGACGCCTCGTGCTATTTCATTGGGACTACAGTCACTCATCTTCATGGGCGTCTGCTTTTAGGATCCTTACTCATAGTAGCTAAGACACAGTACTTTTGTGTCCATCTAGTTACAGTGTTTCTCAACCTTGACCATTTTAAGGCATGTGGACTTCAACTCCCAGAATTCCACAGCCAGCATTGCTGGCTGTGGAATTCTGGGAGTTGAAGTCCACATGCCTTAAAATGGTCAAGGTTGAGAAACACTGATCTAGTATGTGTTGAATCGGGGATAAGCCCCTAGAATGCAGCACAACCTCCCGCGTACTCTGTAGCATCAATATGTCCTGCTCCCTAAATGTATTGTAGAATCTAACATATTGTGGCATACATTTTTGTGAAGCAGGTTTTAGTTGGTAGAAGCCATAATACATTTGTCTTTAAAGAAAACTTACTCTTAAGCTTACACTTGTTCCACAAGCTGCATTCCTTTGCGAATTACAATCCTTACTTCAACCAGAAGTCCTAAATTATTCTTAGAAGAGAAAATATCAGTTCTTGGACGTGAAAGTTAGGTATCAATAATTCTGCCAGCCAGGTTCAAACTCTTGGACGTTTTCCTTGGCCCCTGGAGGCCTATAAGATTTTGCTGTTAAAATTCTGATAGGGTTAGTGTATCTATAAAAACAAAAGCACAAACGTGGTAGAAGGCAGATTAATGTGGCTCCATATTTCCTGATTCATAGGTTTTAAATATGAGATTGAACACTGTACTATTAATAAAAGATACAGTACTCTTCTGCTCATTAATTGTATTTATTTATTGATCTTTTACATTAAGTTGAAAGAAGAGTAATGTTGCAGGGCTCTGTATAAGTTAGAATTGTTAAGTTTGCATCTTACATATTCCAGGCAATACAGCAGTACTTCTTTTTATTCTGTGTTCTTCCTGAAGTTAAAAACATTGGCTTGACTCACTACACTATGCCAGTATATTAATTCATGATTCTGTATAATAAATAAAAACAGAAAATTGTAGGGAATTCATTCTAATGTGAATTCATATCTTATGTGAATTCATTCAGTAGTATCCCTCTTGCTAGCTATAGGTCAGCAAGTTGTAGAAGTTTCCATATAGTTTTCTATGTTTTCACCAAAATGCCCATGACATTATTACCCCATATCCTCTTAACACTGGTAGAGATTATTTATAACTATGTCTTTAGCCCTTCCATATGAATGTTTATATTATTAGGAGGCTTTATAAAGTTGTCAATCGAAGGTTATGCAAGGGCTTATTTTTGACATTTGAGAAATAGAGAAATCCCACATACCGAATAACTCTTGTCTATAGTAGGAAATATAGGAGAAATGGGGCACAGGCTGTTGCACTGAAGACTTGTTTCTAATTTCGGTCCAGATTATAAATCCTTGGACAAAATAATATCCAAGCAAATTACCAAAACAAATTCCTGTACAACATGCTTTTATTTTGTGGCAAAACAAAATGTTGACTTCTGAATTTGAATGCTAGTGATCAGAGAACGATCTTTGAAACATGGTTCACGTATATAGCATAAAGAATAATAGAGGGCCAACGGGATAAGGAAGTACTTGAAAAAGGTTAGAAAATATAGATTACCTTAAAGAATGGAGTAAATAGTTGGAACAAGAAAGTAGCCTGAGAGAAGAGCTGACTGACAAAATGATGCAAAGAATTATAATAAAAGAGATGACACATGGGGCATATTTCCTTTTTGAAAGTCAATAATGCACTCAAATGTTGGGTAGAGCTGCTGCTAGTGGTGCCGGGGTAATAGTAGATGTCAAGTTGCTATGAGGGCATACTTTTAGTTCAGTACTTTTTTGACAGGATGAGATGATTGAATGCTGCCAAACTTTCCTGTCACAAAGAAAGCATGTGATAGAGTCATCCTATCCTCTTCCTCCATGTTAGTAGTTTGATACATGAACTTTGAAGTATGCCAGTATGTAAATAAGTCTCAAGTGTTGACTATTCAGTGTGATATACGCTGCCCATTGTTATTAGTATGAATTTAGAGAGAGAAAACAAAATATCTGTGGGCCCTAGTCATTTTTATTTTTATGCCCGAACAGTTGCACATGACAGTAGACAAGTTTTTTGTTTAAAATATTACTACATCTTATAATTTAGTGGTAATATAACAGTAGCCTTCAGCCTTTGTGGAAAAGGTTCACACAAGTCATAAAGTGATTGCTTTTAGTTTTGAATATTATATGAACCCAGTCATTGAGATTGTAAGTAATAGTTTATGATATATTCCCAGTTAAAGTAACAGTGATGTTTCCTGCATCCTATGTTGTTACCTAAATACAATATCTGAAGAATCCTGGAAGATAAAGCAGCATGATGAATCAATGAATATTTTCTCCTGTATTTTATCACTTTGGGGCAAACAAACCAAGATTTCTACTTGAAGATGGCTTGTGTATTTAGAAAAAGACTTGCCAATTTAAAATAAAAAATTGTTAATGAGTGCCTGTGCACACATGCACGCGCACGTACACACACACACACACACACACCATTTTCTCTCACTGCCCATAGTACAAAAGTCTTTTTCCAAAGTTTTGG